ATTGTGAAGGTTTGAGGTTATCATATGACTGTTAATGTCAACATCCATAGAGAACCAGATAAAATAAGGATGAAAAAAGGTTGAGGAAGATGTGTTGGCAGTCCACAGGACACATGGAAAAATCCTGTTGAGCAGGAGGGGAGGCCAAATTTTATGAACAAGGAAAGTTTTGAGAAAGCAGCCAAAAGGAGAACCAGATTAGGCGGGTTGAAAAGCCAAATTTAGATAGGGGTACAAATCAGGTGCCTGACTAGAAGAATTTACACAGCATTGCACTTGGGCTGATCCTATTCAAATTTTAACAAATGCTCAACCTGAGCCCCCCAAGTTGCAGCCCTAGATTTAGATCCACTGATGTTCAATCAAAAAGCCAAGTTCAAAAGCTTTAGAGATGTAGTAGGTGGAAAACAGGTACTACAATTGGATCTGTTACCAGGTGGTCCTTAAAGAGAGTACCAAGGTGTTAAGGGTCCATTTGGTTTGCAGTCAGAATTGAAACCCCCCGGAATCGGAATGGTCCATTCCCCTTGCCTGTTTGGTTCAGATGGGAATTGAAATCGGCTGGAATGGAATTCTCATTCCCAAGGGAGGGGGAGGGAATGGCCATTCCCTCAAATGGGGGGAATGCCATTCCACCAGGAATGGGAATTGGATTCTGATTTCGCCCAACCAAACGGTTGGAATCGGAATGGGCTATTCCGATTCCGATTCCGATTCCGATTCCAGACAGATTCCTGCAAATGAAATGGACCCTAAGTCCCTAGTTGCTAATCATCACTATCAGATTAGCATTAGTAGAGGAGCAATTTACAGATTCATGGGCCTACGATATGTAAACCAAATCAAGATTCAAGAGAGTCAGTTCATAAAACAATAGGCTAGACCAGCTCATCCTGATCCACCCCACCCATGCCACCACTCATGACTCTTTAAGTGATCATGTGATGATAGTGAATATGAGGTTGAGTACAGATGCTAAAGGTGGTCTATCATTGCTTTCCTCTTGCTTGCTAATTGTTCCCCCTACAATGGCAGATAAAGCCAGCCCAAAGGCTGCCTTATTGTGGAGACCCATGGTCTTTTACCTTGATGGACAAATCTAACCCAAAGTGCTTGAAAAGACTAAAAGATAGACCTGAAGAAGGGATCAATGAGGGTTGGGTTATTCGGATGAAGTCCAGTGGCTTTTGCATGGCTTGTGGCTATGGACAGTATTTTGACAGTCGATCACCTGAAGTCCAGAGGCTTTTGCATGGCCAATATGTGCTTTCTCTACAAAGAACAGGAGGACACTGTTACACATCTTTTTATTCATTGTAAGGTTGCTGGATTCTTGTGGAGCTTCTTCACATCAATGTTTTGATTTCCAAAATTTCAGCCAGGAAATGCTGCAGAAATTTTTCTACATGGCCAAAGTTAAGAGGAAGTAAAAAAGCAAGGATTCTTTGGAGCTGCTTACCTTTCGCTATTTGCTGGAACATCTGGAAAGAGAGAAACAGAAGAGTCTTTGAAGACAAACTCTGGAACATGAAAAAGATTGTGGCAGCTATCAGTAACTCGGTTGCAGATTGGATTCTGGTCTCTCCATCTTTTAGTCAAGTTTCTAAAGAAGATTTGAGTGACGGATTAGGGGAGATTTTGGAATATCAAATTTGTAACTTGGGTGGTTTTTAGTATGCTGCTGTGTTTAGCTTTTGTTCTGGTTGTATGAGGGGGATGCCTTATCACCTATTAGGATGTATCTTTTTCTCTTTATTTAATGAAATTTCTTTTTTATCATAAAAAAATGATGCTACAAGCATTGTGAACATTGATCCATTCATAGTGGGTGCTGAAGCCCATGGCGAAGATATCTACAGCACCAATATTCTCTTTGTAGAAGAAAGGGAGAGCCAAAAGGAAAGTGGATTATCTAGTGTTAACATGGAAAAGAATATTTCTTGTAGAAGAAGAGAAGAGATTTGAGAGAGAAAAGAGAGCAATAATGCTGGTCACCCTCTTCACTATTATTTATAGTCTAAAATAATAGAGTACAAAGACCAATATGCCCTTATAGGGCGGCTAACACATAAAACAACATAAAACAATTAAAATAACTGCTCAAAAAGGACCCGCAAGATTGCTATGGTCCCCATTTCCAATCTAAATGGCAAATAATAAAAAACTACCACTATAGATTACACAATTTGTCTAAAACCTCAACACTCCCCTTCAAGTTGGGAGTAAATGTCACACATTCCCAATTTGCGTAGGTTGTATTCAAGCTTGTTCTTTGCAACCCCTTTGGTGAAGACATCAAACAATTGTAGTTTAGAGGAGACATAAGGCAAGCAGACTTCTCTAGTTGTCACCCTTTCTCTTATGAAGTGCCTATCAACCTCAATGTGTTTAGTCCTGTCATGCTGAGTTGGATTGTGGGCAATATTGATTGCAACTTGGTTGTCACAATATAACATCATGGGCTTCTCAGCTTTTATTCCAATCTCACTTAGTAGAGATTTTACCCAAAGTAGTTCTGAAACACCATGAGCCATAGATCTATATTCAACCTCTACACTTGATCTAGCCACAATTGATTGTTTTTTACTCTTCCATGATACCAAGTTTCCTCCCACAAAGGTGCATACCCCTGATGTAGATCTCCTATCATCTAAACAACCTACCCAATTTGCATCTATGTAGGACTCCAGATTTAAATTTTCATGGTCTTAGAAAAGAATCCCTCTGCTAGGATGCTTCTTCAGGTATGCAAGTATCCTCTCAATGGCTTCCCAGTATTGAACACGAGGAGCATGTATATATTGGCTCACAATACTAACAACATAGGAGATGTCTGGACATGTCATACATAAATATAGTAGCCGACCTACCATCCTATGATATCTTCCCACATCC